TTAATAGTATTTTTAGAAATGTGCTAACGTGCCGTGATCCGTCGATCCATATGGAGGCAGTGGGGCATGGCAGAACCACCCAAAACAACTATTCTCGATCATTTCGCTGACCTGGACGACCCACGGGTGGAACGCACCCGACGCCATAAGCTGGTGGACATCATTGCCATTGCCATTTGTGCCACCATCTGCGGCGCCGATTCCTGGGTCCACATAGAACTCTTCGGCAAGAGCAAGCTGGCCTGGTTTCAGACCTTCCTGGAATTGCCCCACGGTATCCCATCCCACGACACCTTTGGCGATGTGTTCGCCCGCCTGGACCCAGTGCAGTTGCAGAATAGCTTCGTATCCTGGACCCAGGCCATCGCCGAGTTGCTGCCGGGTGAGGTGGTGGCCATTGATGGCAAGACGGCTCGACGGTCCTATGATCCGGCGGGGAACAAGGGAGCCATACACCTGGTCAGCGCCTGGGCCACGCAGAACAACCTGACCCTGGGCCAGGTCAAGACTGAGGAGAAGTCCAATGAGATCACCGCCATTCCTCAACTGCTGGAAATGCTGGACTTGAATGGCTGCATCGTAACTATCGATGCCATGGGCTGCCAGCGGGAGATCGCCCAGCAGATCACCGCGGGCGGGGCCGACTACGTGCTGGCGGTGAAGGAGAACCAGGGCCGGTTGCATGAGGGTATCCGAGACCTGTTCCAGGGAGCTGAGGCCTTGGGTTTTGACGGGGTGCCTTACGATTATGCACGGACCGTGGACAAGGGACACGGACGGGTGGAACGGCGGGAATGCTGGACCATCACGGCGACGGACTGCCTGGATTATCTGGACCCCCAGGGGCAATGGTCCCAACTGAAGGCGGCCGTCAGGGTGGTGGGCCATCGTCAAACTGGAGCGGGTGGCATAAGTCAGCCCCGCTACTACATCAGCAGCCTGCCAGCCCCAGCAGAACAACTCCTGGCTGCCATCAGAAGCCACTGGAGCATCGAAAACTCGCTGCACTGGACCTTGGACGTGACCTTTCGGGAAGACCAGTGCCGAGTGCGCAAGGACCATGGACCGCAGAACCTGGCCACGCTGCGGCAGATTGGGCACAACCGGTTGAAAAACGAAAGCACCTTGAAAGTAGGCATTCAGGGCAAGCGGCTCAACGCCGGATGGGACGAGGACTACCTGCGCCAAGTCCTCCTCGGATAAGACGCGATTGCCCTGCTGAGCCGGCCGACCGGTTCCCGATGCTATAATCCCAAGTTGTATCGTGACCACTATCGGCCCGCTCTCAAGCTGCGCCGAATCGAGGAGGAACTGAATTGGCCGCCCGCACAATGTTCGAAAAAATCTGGGACGCCCACGTGGTTCACGAAGAGCCGGGCCAGCCCTCACTCATCTACGTCGACCTGCACCTTGTGCATGAAGTCACTTCGCCGCAGGCATTCGACGGTCTGCGCATGGCCGGCCGCCAGGTGCGCCGCCCGGACCTCACCGTGGCCACCGCCGACCACAACACCCCAACATGGGAACTCACCCGTCCCATCGAAGACCAGATTTCCAAGGCGCAGTTGGACGCCTTGGACCGCAACGCCGCCGAGTTCGGACTGCCCTTTTATTACGACCGCTTCAGCGAGAACCAGGGCATCGTCCACATCATCGGACCCGACCTCGGCTACACACTCCCCGGCAAGACCGTCGTTTGTGGCGACAGCCACACCTCGACCCACGGCGCGCTGGGCTGCTTCGCCGTCGGCATCGGCACTTCCGAGGTCGAGCACGTCCTCGCCACCCAGACCCTGCGCCAGTTCAAGCCTCGCACCATGGAGGTGCGCGTTGATGGCGAGCTGCCCAACGGCGTGTCCGCCAAGGACGTGATCCTGGGCATCATCGGCCAGATCGGCGTCAACGGCGGAACCGGCCACGTCATCGAGTACACCGGCGAGGCCATCCGCGGCCTGTCGATGGACGGCCGCATGACCGTGTGCAACATGAGCATCGAGGCCGGCGCCCGCGCCGGCATGATCGCCCCCGACGACACCACCTTCTGAGTACGTCCGCAACCGACCCTATGCCCCCAAGGGCGCGGAACTGGAGGCGAAGATCGCCGAGTGGCGCGGCCTGGCCACCGACGCCGGCGCAACCTACGACCGCACCGTCGTCATCAACGCCGGCAACCTGGCCCCCTTCGTGACCTGGGGAACCAAACCCGACATGGTGGCGCAGATCACTGACCGCGTGCCGGACCCCGCGTCATTCGCAACCACCGCCGAGCGCGAAGCCGCCGAGCGTGCCCTGGAGTACATGGGCCTGGAGCCCAACCAGGCCATCGAGGACATCAAGATCGACCGCGTGTTCCTCGGCGCCTGCACCAACGCCCGCATCGACGACCTCCGCGCCGCCGCCAACGTCATCCGTGGCCGCCAGGTCAATTCCGAAGTTTACGCCATGGTCGTGCCCGGCTCCGCCCGCATCAAGGCGGAGGCCGAAGCCGAGGGGCTCGACCAGATTTTCAAGGACGCCGGTTTCGACTGGCGCATCGCCGGTTGCTCCATGTGCCTGGGCATGAACCCCGACATCCTGGACCCCGGCCAGCGCTGCGCCTCCACATCCAACCGCAACTTTGAAGGACGCCAGGGCAAAGGCGGTCGCACCCACCTGGTCAGTCCCGAGATGGCCGCCGCCGCCGCCATCGCCGGTCATTTCGTCGACGTGCGCGACTTTTAGGCGGACTCGTCAGCTTCAATGACCGCCGGAAATTCGCCCGCCACTACCAAGAGGTAATTACCAATGGAACCCTTTGTCCAACTGGAAGGCGTCGTGGCGCCCCTCGATGCCGTCAACGTCGATACCGACATGATCATCCCCGCCATATACCTCAAGAGCATCGAACGCACCGGCTTCGGCCCGCACCTGTTCGACCGCTATCGGTACAACGAGGACGGTTCGGAGAACCCCGATTTCATCCTCAACCAGGATGCCTATCGCAGTTCCCGGATCCTGGTGTCCGGGCCCAATTTCGGCTGCGGCTCGTCCCGCGAGCACGCCCCCTGGGCCCTGGACGACTTCGGCATCCGGTGCGTCATCGCGCCGAGTTTCGCCGACATCTTCTTCAACAACTGCTTTAAGAACGGACTGCTACCCCTTACCCTGCCCGAAACCGACGTCCGTCGCATCATGGACAAGGCTAAGGACAACCCCGGCTTCCAGATCATGGTTGACCTGGAGGCGCAGCAGGTCCGCGACGCTGACGAGGAGATCGTCCTGGACTTTGAGGTCGACGAGTTTCGCCGCTACTGCCTGCTGAACGGCCTCGACGACATCGGGTTGAGCTTGCAGCACGAGGATGCCATCTCCGCTTACGAATCCCGCCAAGGCTGACCACGAGCAACACTCCGAATTACGCCGGGGCGAATGATCATTCGCCCCGGCGTAATTTAGTGAACTTCTAACTTCGTCAGCCAGGTAAAGCGCTGCGGTTCAATCCGCAACTCCGGCGGCAGCAAAGAATTCAGCGTCATCAGCAGGCGTCCCGCTCCTCGGCAGCTTCCCGCATAAGAGCCGCGCCTCAGTTGCCCAGCGTGTTCCAAAGAGTGCATGGCGTAAGCGTGTCGCATCAGTCTCGTGATTCGCAACTCCGGATGCTCTCGCTCCAGCCGTCGAATGATTGATCTAAGCACGCTCGCTCGGCCAGTCACGAAAGCGCTGTTGCCCCGGGCGACGATTTCAATCGCGGCTAGAATGGCGACCACGACATCCCACACCAAGCCGCCTACGGCGGAGCGTTTATATTCGGGATGATACCCAGGGCTGTTTTCAACATCCCGCGCTATATTCAGGCAGGTCACGGCAATGCCAGTGAAGTGAGCGGCGGCAAGTTCGTCAAATCGCTGCAATTTCTTTTACTAACCCGCGCGCGCTGTGTATATGACAATACCAAGAATCCTCTGCATCCTCCGGCAGCCACAGCGTTGACCAACCGGCGCCCAGGTCGGTAGCGCCTTCGTATCCGTCAAGCAGCAGATCATCCTCTCGCTCCGCGGCCAGCTTGACGATGGCGGCCCGTGGGTTGCCCCGGGCGTGCAGTGTGGTGTCGGCGTACCACTCTATCGTTGATTTCACGATTTCCGCTGCTCGGTCCGGTTCCGCGGCGTAAAGCGCGCTGGCCAGGTCCAACCCCCGGTTCGCCACCGACACGGGCGACAGGTAATCCACTATGGTTTCGGTTGTCCGAGTGGTCATGGTGTCGCTCCTTGCGATTCAGTATATCCAACTGGGACATTCACTTTCCCCGTATAGTGAACCGAAATAGTGATTTGAACTGTACGCGCTTCTCGTTTCGTCAGAGCACGTTGGAAGTGCAAGTTGCCACACCGATGATGATAAGAATTGCAAACGCAATCACCACCGCTTGGCCACAGGCGAGGCCGCTTAACTTTCTGTTCGTTTCCGAGACACCCCTTGTCTGCTCCCCTAAATCCCGAACCACTCCCGCACTCGTTCCGCGTAACCCGTGTCGTAGCGCTGCATCCGCCCCTGCCGAACCTGCTCGTCCAACGACGGCCGGCGCACACCACGCGGCGACAGCGGCGTGTATCCGATGATCCGCTCCTCTTCCAAAGCGGCCACCTCGTCGTCGGTCCTGCCTAACAGGCCGGCCAATATGTCCCGGTTGTGCTGGCCCATGATCGGAGCCGGCTGCGGCGCAACCGCCGGCGTGCCCGAGAGTTTCCAGGGCCGGCCGGCGTAGGGCAGCGGAGGCATACCCGTCGCCTCGTGGTGCTCCACGACCTCGTAGAACCGGCGCTCCTTCAGGTGTACGTTGAACAGCAGGTCTTCGCTGTCCGCCACCGCGCCGGCGGCAACACCTTCGGCCTGCAAACGAGCCATCAGCTCGTGGTTATCGTGGCTCCGGGTCTCGAACCCCAGCATCTTGTCCAGTTCCGCGCGATGCTGGATTCGCCCCAGCACGTCCGCGTACCGGTCGTCCGCCGCCCAGTCGGCCCGGCCCATGACGCGGCACAAACCTCGCCAGGCCTCGTCGCTGTCCACGGCAATGGCGATCCACCGGTCATCGCCGGCGCACGGGTAACAGCCGTGCGGAGACATCGCCGGGTCTTCGTTCCCGATCCGTTCCTCGACTCGGCCGTTCACCGTCCAGTCCAAAAGCGCCTCCGGGACCGTCGCGGAGCACGTCTGGGTCTGAGACACGTCAATGAACTGTCCTTGGCCCGTGTTCAGCCGGTGCATCAGCGCCAGCATCACGGCTGCGACCGTATGCTCCCCGGCCGTGTAGTCCGTGAACGGTATCTCGGACATCACCGGCCCACCGTCGCGGTATCCGGTGACGTAAGCCAGGCCCGCCGCACCCTCTGTGGCCGGCCCGGTGGCGCCGAAGTTTGCCCAGGGCCCTTCAAACCCATACCCGGTAGAGGACACCATGATTATGTCGGGCCGGATTTTGCGCAGGTCTTCGTACTCCAGGCCGAAGTTGCGAATCACCCTCGGCGTGAAGTTTTCGGCGAACACGTCGGCGACGGCTATCAGGTCGCGCAGCACTCCCCGGCCTTCGTCCCGGCTCAAGTCCAGGGTCAAGCCCAGTTTGTTCCGGTTCTGCTCGTAGAAGTTCGCCCCCCGGTTCCAGAACTCACCCTCCACGTCGTTGTGGTACAGCGAGTCCGTGCGGTAGCTTTCCAGTCGCTGCACCGACTCCAGCCGTATCACCTGCGCGCCCATGTCGCCCAGCCACTTCATCGCGGACGGTATCGCAATGAGTTGTCCCATCTCCACGATGCGGACGCCTTCCAAAGGACCGGCCATCTCAGATCACCTCCGAGGCCCGCAGCCAGGCCAATTCCTGCGGTCCGTACCCCATGTCGCCCAGCACACTGCCGGTATGCTCACCCAATTGGGGCGCCGCGTCATTGACCACCCACGGCGAGCCTGACATCAGGAATGGCGCCCCCGGGAACGTGATTTCGCCCAGTTCCGGATGTTCTACCGGCACGTAGTATCCCCTGGCCTGTATCTGGGGATTGTCCACCGTTTCTGCCGGGGAATCGATCACGCCGTAAATGAATCGCTTCTGGTGCGCCGCGTAGAAGATGTCCTGCTTGCGCTTGGTGGCAAATATCTGGTCCAGGATTCCGCCCAGCGCCTCCGCGTTTTCCAGCCGCGCCGACGCGTTGTCGAACCGCGAGTCGTCCAGCTCCGACGCTTCCAGGAAATCGACCATCACCTTCCAGTCCAGCGTCGCACCCATGCCGGGATTGGGCAGCACGTAACCGTCGGACACTGCGCGCAGGCGGGTCAGGTCGCCCGTGTGGTTCGGTTGCCGCCGGCGCACGGCTCCGGTGTACGTGTAGTTGTTGGTCACGTCCCGCAGCGCCGACGCGATGCTCTCCTGGATCGAAACGTCCACCCGCTGGCCCTCGCCGGTCAGCCGTTGGTGGTACAACGCCATCAGCGCAGCGGACGCCAGGTTGGTGCCGGCCTTGAACTGCGCCTGGTGCAGCGCGTGTTTCAGCGGCTCCCGGTCGTACGCGCCGAAGATGTACATGAGCCCACCCAGCGCGTATTCCACAATCTCGGTCGCGCGAAAGTCCCGCCACGGGCCGGTCTGCCCGAAATTGGACACCGACGCGGCCACCAGCTTTCGGGTTGTGCTTCCACAGGGTATCGGCATCCAGCCCCAGCGCCGGCATCACCCGGGGCGCGAAGTTCTCCACCAGCGCGTCCGCATCGGCCAGCAGGTCCATCAGGATGGCACGCCCGGTCTCCGACTTCAGGTTGAGAGTGATGCTGCGCTTGTTGGTGTTCAGATAGAGAAACGGCAGACCTTTCTCGACGCCCGGTTCGTCGTGGTAGAACGGTGGCAGACGCCGCGCCGGGTCCCCGCCGGGCCGCTCGATCTTCAGGACGTCGGCCCCGAAATCGGCCAGCAGCTTGGTTGCGTACGGGCCGGCGATGTGGTGGGTCAGGTCAATCACTTTGACGCCGGACAGCGCTCCACTGCTCAATTTCCCCACTCCAGTTTGGTTTCGGGAACCCATTCTAGACCCATCCACAACGGCGCACAATCGCCGATTCAGCCGCCGTCCGCGTGCCCACCGGAATTCAAACTGTCCTTGCGAGCGACCCCACTGTCATTTGTATGTTGCAATCACCCCGCGAATAGGCCAATTTGTGGGGTAATGGGAGGGGCGCGTCGCCTGTCATTGGGTGAGCCGGGTCTACGGCCTGGACCGCACCGTCTCGCAGTAGGACACCCCTCCCGGAAGGCGCTGGTCTGCTCCGAACGGATACCCGGGTGTGTCGCCCCGCAATGCAAGTGTGGAGGGTCCCAGCGCCGCCATTATCATACCAGCACCAACGGAGGCGACGGAAAGATGAGCCGAGCAATGGCCGGGATAGACGTGGGCAAAGGGGAACTGGACGTGTCGGTGGACGGGGAACGGGCGCGACGATTTGCCAACACCGCGGGCGGGGTTGGGGAGTTGCTGGACTGGTTGCAGCCCCGAGGCGAGGTGCTGGCGGTTTGTGAAGCGACGGGCGGTTACGAACGCCTGGTGGTGGCAGGGTTGCGCGAGGGTGGAGTGGCGGTGCCTGTCGCCCATCCCAACCGGGTGCGGGCCGATGCGCGGGCCGGTGGCTACGCGGCGAAGACCGACGGGTTGGACGCCGTGGTGCTGTCCCGGTATGGGGAGGCATTCCAACCGCCAGCGACGTTGGCCCAGGACGCGGATCGCATCCGGTTGCAGGACCTGCTGCGCCGCCGGGAGCAGTTGGTGGGTCAACGGACCCAGGAGAAGAACCGGCTGGCCCGGGTACACAACCCGGCAAGCCAGGACTCCATACGCCGGCACATCGCCTGGCTGGATGAGGAGATCGGGCTGCTGGATGAGCAATGCCAGGAACTGCTGAAGCAGAACGCGGAGTTTCAGCGCCAGGTTGAGTGGTATCGCAGCGTGCCGGGAGTGGGTATCCAGACCGCAGCGGCGGTGGTGGCCTGGTTGCCGGAGTTGGGCCAGTGCGAGAGCAATGTCCTGGCCGCGCTGTGCGGCGTCGCGCCGTGGTCACGGGACAGCGGTCAGCAGCGGGGATACCGGTCCACCCGTGGCGGACGTCGGCCGGTGCGTCGGGTGCGGTACGTGGCCAGCATGGTGGCAGCGCGCAACCACGACGAGTTGGGAGACTTCTACCGTCGGCTGCGTCAGCGGGGCAAGCCGGGCAAAGTGGCGCTGGTGGCGGTGATGCGGAAGCTGCTGTGGCTACTGAACGCCGTGGCCCGCCGCGGCACCCCGTGGACCCCCACAATTCCAACAACCAACCTGAACCCCGCTTGACACACAACACAGATACTGCGAGCGCAGCGCGGCAATCCCGTCGCCGTAGCAAGGCCCGCCCGGCAACGCGCGAGCGATACACCCCCTCTTGACAGCAGCGAACAAACGTTCCTATACTATCCACATCACGTGAAATATCAGCAACCGCCAGAGGTCCGAAGGGTCGTTCGCGGCCAACCCGTCAGAACCCAAATCGCAAACCCTGTCCCGACGACCATCGCCCGCCCGTTTCTCAGCGGCGTGGTCATCTCGGCGACACAGCGATAATCCACTCGCTGCGTGCTGCACGACCCTCGGGTCGTCCACGGTTCCAGTGGTTAAAAATCCTTGCGTAATCCCCGGCCGCGGGGCTGACACCGACCCTGAACCCTCTGGCAACGCTGAACCATCCAACAACCGAACCAACCAGTAGTGAGGCAACAACCACCGATCACCAACCCAACAACCCGCAAACAACCTCCCATAGGAGCCGGCGCCCTTGAACGCAGCCCACCATCTGGACCGCAGTCAACTCTACCTCGGCTACATCACCGGTGACGTCCGGGCCGGCGACTACCACCGTGCCGCCCGCGCCATTCACCGCGCGGCCAGCCATGTCGCCACCGCCGCCGCCGTCCACACCCACCAGGATAGCTACAGCTGGCGCCGTATGACCACGGTGCTGGGCGGCTTCGTGCGCGGCTGCCAGATCGGCTATCGACACCTGCGCACCTTCCGGGAGGTTTACCGCCTGCCCGCGACGCTTGCCGAGGCCGAAGCCAACGGCGATGACACCGCCATCCGCGCCCTGTTGCGCCGCGCCCGTCGTCGCGTCCAGCGCCTACATCAGGCCGTGGCGCTGGCCATCGCCAAAGACCCCAACCCGCTGAGCCTCGCGGACTTCCGAGCCCTCCGGGCAGCCGGCAAGCTCCCCTCCCGGCGCGAGCCTCAGCCCCCACCCATGACCACCATGGGCCAGTACCGTCGCGCCCTCGGCCTCCACGTCCCCAGCGGCACCGAGGACCACCCCATCCGCTGCCCTTGCTGCCCCATCCGTTGACACCCATCGTCATCACGAGATTTTCAAATGTCATTGCGAGCGAAGCGTGGCAATCCCGTCGACCGGCGCCGACCCCTGCCGAAAACCGCCGTATTGCATCGTGACTGCCGCGTCGTGAATTTCCGACCACCACTATGGGACGGTCCTGGCCGCCGCCTCCCTGCCTGAGGGTCCACGGCGCGCGGCTATTGTTCTCCACTCGATCAGTGCGCGAGACCCCGATGTTATACTCTGCGCAACTCCCTCCCAACCGCGGCCACGTTCAGCCGCCAGCCACCGACTAACGAGGTACCACCGTGCAAACAATTGATGCCATCGCCGAAATTCTCAAGCGGGAGGGCGTGAAATACCTGTCCTGCTTCCCCACCACGCCGGTCATCGAAGCCTGCGCTGCCGCCGGCATCCGCCCCATCATCTGCCGCCAGGAGCGCGTCGGCGTCGGCATCGCCGACGGTTACAGCCGCATCACCAACGGCCGGCCACCCGGCGTCTTCGCCATGCAGTACGGCCCGGGAGCGGAGAACGCCTACTCCGGCGTCGCCACATCATTTTCCGACTCGGTTCCCATCTTGCTGCTTCCCCTGGGACACCCACGCGAACGCCAGGGCGTCTTCCCCATGTTCGACTCCATCGAGAGTTTCGCCAGCGTCACCAAGCACCTGGAAAGGCTGAACCTTTCCGGCAGCACCAGCCAGGTGATGCGCCGCGCCGTCAACGCCCTGTACACCGGCCGACCGGGCCCCTCGATGGTGGAAATACCGGCCGATGTGGCGCTGGAGGAAGTTTCCGAGGAAGCCTTCTACTGGGGTGGCAACGTCCGCCGTTCCGCCTCGCAGGCCGATCCCGACGACATTGAGGCCGCCGCCCGCGCGCTGTGCTCCGCCACCTATCCGGTGATCCACGCCGGCCAGGGCGTCATGTACGCCGAAGCCACCGACGAGCTGGTCGAACTGGCCGAACTCCTGTCCGTTCCGGTGATGACCACCCTGCTCGGTAAGAGCGGGTTCCCGGAGCTGCATCCCCTCGCCCTGGGCAGCGGCTCCGGCGTTATGTCCGGCACCGTGTACCACTTTGTGCGTCGCGCCGATGTCATATTCGGCGTCGGTTCCAGCTTCACCAGGCACGGCATGTCCATGAACCTGCCCGCTGGTCGCACCCTGATCCAAAACACCAACGACCCCCGCGACCTCAACAAGGACTACGACGTCCAGTTCCCCCTCATCGGCGATGCCAAGCTGGCCCTGCGCCAGATGATTGAGGCCTGCCGCGAAATCGTCGGCGACAGCCGCCGCAACAACGCCGAGGTTACCGGCGAGATCGCCTCCGTTCGCGATGCGTGGCTCGCCGAGTGGGAGCATAAGACCACCGATGCCGGCCCGCTGGTAAATCCCTATCGGATCATCACCGATTTCCAGAAGGCTGTCCCTTCGAGCGAGGCCATCATCACCCACGACTCGGGCAGCCCTCGCGACCAGATCACCCCGTTCTACCGCTCCGGCGGCCCGCGCACCTACCTGGGTTGGGGCAAGTCACACGGCCTCGGCACCGGTCTGGGCCTGGTCATCGGCGCCAAACTCGCCGACCCGGGCAAGATGTGCGTCAACTTCATGGGCGACGCCGCTTTCGGCATGGTCGGTCTGGACTTCGAGACCGCCGTCCGCAGCGGTGTTCCCATCACCACCGTGGTGCTGAACAACTCCACCATGGCCGTCGAAACCAACGCCATGCAGCGTTCCCACGAGCTCTATAGCACCCGAGACCTTGGCGGCAACTACGCCGACCTGGGCCGCGCCATGGGCGGCTACTCCGAACGCATCACTGACCCCAACGAGATCATCCCGGCGTTCCAGCGCGCCCGCCAGCAGAATGAAAACGGCAACGCGGTGCTTCTCGAATTCATCACCAACGAGGAGATCAACTACTCCCACCGCCGGGCATTCTGATCCAACCTCACGCCAGACGGGGGCGGCCTTCGCGGGTCGCCCCTTCCGTTATCCGTACCCATCACCCATGCCGCGAACCGACCGCAACCCCATTCCCGCCGTGGCGGAACACGTCCGGAGCGCCAAGGCGCATGTCGCCAACGGCAATCACCAAGCAGCCCTTGCCGACCTCGACCTGGCCTTCCTGATCGCACCCGGTGACCCCGTCATCCATTTCCTTCGGGGTCAGTCCCTGTCCATGCTGGGCAGAACCGAGGCAGCTCTGGACCAGTTTGATGCCGCCATCGAACGCGACCCCAGCATCGCGGATGCCTGTCTGGAGCGGGCCGCGATCCACTTGGACCTGTCCGACTACTCCCGCGCCGATTCGGGCTGCTCGCGGGCGCTGGAACTCGACGGCACTCTTGCCCGCGCGTGGAGCATCCGCGGCACGGCCCGCTACAAGCTCGGCCGCTTCGACGCCGCCGCCGCCGACTTGACCCAAGCGTTGGACCGCCAACCGGATGATCCATCCGCTCACTACTGGCGCGGCCTGGCCCGGCGCGACTCCGGGCAGAACGTTCTCGCCATTGCCGACTTCAACGCCGCCATTGCCCTCAACGACCGCTACACCGAGGCTTACGTCGCCCGCGGCAAGGCTCATTCGAGCCTGGGCGACTTGGCCGCAGCGCGGTCCGACTGGGCCGTTGCCGCGCAGTTGCTGCACCAATCCCACTGAACTCGCCGGAGGTGCCACCATGGCCGACCTGCAATCCAAGTACCTGTTCATCGCTAGCATGGACATCGACCCCGACCGCGAAGCCCTTTTCAACGACGTCTACAACACCGAGCACTGCCCACTGCTCAACGAGACGCCTGGCGTCCTGGGCGTAACCCGCTACGAGACCCACCGGCTCCTCATGGCCATGGGTGGGCAGGTTCAGGAGATCGAGATCCCCGGCACGCCCAAGCACCACGCCGTCTACCAGCTCGAGAGTCCGGACGTGCTGACCAGCAAGGAGTGGGCCGAAGCCGTCGATTCCGGCCGCTGGCCAGGCCAAGTGCGCCCACACACCAAGAACCGCCGCCACGTCCTGATGAAGCTCACCTACCCGGAGAGTTAACGGCGTCCGCCAACTCAATCCAGTGGAACGGAGGGGCGACTGATCAGTCGCCCCTGCTGCGCCGGGAAAAACCGTTACGCGAACTAGTTCGCGCCCCGCATCCTCGGATCCAACACGTCCCTCAATGCGTCGCCGAGCAGGTTCACCGCAAACACGGTTATGGCGATGGCCAACCCGGGGAACACGCCCAGCCACGGCGCAACGTCCAGGGAGTTCTGCGCCACGCCGTTGAGCATCCCGCCCCACGATGGCACGTCCGGCGGGATGCCCACGCCCAGAAAGCTCAGCGACGCCTCCACGACTATGGCCCATCCCAACGAGATGCTCGCGAGCACGATGAACGTCGCCGCGCAGTTCGGCGCCATGTGGCGCAGTATGATGCGCCAGTCGCCGGCTCCCACCGCCCGCGCCGCCAGAATGTAGTCCACTTCTTTGATGCTCAGCGCCTGCGACCGGATGGTGCGCGCCGCCCCGGGAATGAACACTGCGCTGAGTGCGATGATCACGTTGGTCACCGACGCTCCCAGGATAGCCATGATCGCCAACGCTAGTATCAGCGCCGGGAATGACATCATCGCGTCCATGATCCGCTGGACCACCAGGTCAGTGACCCCACCGAAATACCCGCTGACGATGCCAATGAACGCGCCAATGGTCACGCCGAAAAGCACGCTCAACAGGCCCACCACCAGCGAAATGCGGGTCCCGTAGACCAGCCTGCTGTACACGTCCCGTCCGATTTGATCGCCGCCCAACCACGTCTCGCCATTGGGCGGGCTGAAGCGGTAGGCGGCGTTGGTCTCTCGCGGATCGTCCGTCGCCACTATCGGCGCCAGGACGGCGATGATTGCCAGCAGGATCACAACCACCGCGCCAAACGCACCCAGCGGTTTGCGCTGCGTAAAGTTGACGATGTTTTCCCAGACCGTGCGCTTGGGGCGCATCCCCGCGCCGGTCGGTTCCGTCGGGGCGAGAACGCCGGTTGCTTGCTGGGCCATGTTTCTCTTCCTTGCGGTGGTTCGCCGTCTAGTTGCCTGGGGCCCGTCGTTCTATTCGTAGCGTATGCGCGGATCCAGCCAGGCGTAGAGCAGGTCCACGACCAGGTTCAGCGCTAGGACCATGAACGCTATGACCATCACGATGCTCTGGATCATGGTGTAGTCCCGGTGCAGGATGCTGTCCACCAGCAGGCGGCCCATTCCGGGAACCAGGAAGATCGTTTCGATAACCACTGTCCCCGCAATCAGTCGACCCACTTGCCACCCTGAAATTGTGATGATCGGCAGGAAGGCGTTTTTCAGCGCGTGCCGGATGATAACCGCCCCCTCCCGCAAGCCCTTGGACCGCGCCGTGCGGATGTAGTCTTCGCGGAACACTTCCAGCATGGAGGAGCGGGTCACCCGTGCGATCAGCGCCATGTTGTAGAAACCCAGCGCCACCGCGGGGAAGAACATCTGCTGCAGGTTGCGCCACGGATCGTCCCAGACGTTGGCGTATCCCAAGGGCGGCAGCCAGTCAAACCAGGCCACCAGGAAATACACCACCAGGATCCCGATCCAGAAAGTGGGCATCGCTACGCCGGCGATAGCGATGATCCGCGATGCGTAGTCGGCGATGGTGTCTTGCCTCACTGCCGACAGCACGCCCAACGGCATCGCCACCACGAACGCTAATAACAGCGCTAACACCCGCCAGCTCCAGCGTGATCGGCACCTTGGCGCCCAGGTCTTCGGATATTGGCGTATCGAAGTACATCGACACCCCGAAATCCCCGCGCAACATGCCCCAGATCCAGTCCAGATACTGGATCGCCAGCGGCCGGTCGGTCCCCAGCTTGGCCCGCAAGTCTGCCAACTGTTGCTCGGAGAATTGGCCGTCTCCCTCGAACCCCATCAGAAGCAACTCTGCCGGATCCCCGGGCACCAGCCGCATCAGGGCGAACACCATGAGGGTAACCAGAAGGAGCGTCGGTATGAACAGCATGAATCGCTTTATGACGTAGGTGTCATCGTGTCTGTCTCTCAGTCCCGTCCCTGAAAGCTCGCGCGCTCGAGGCGGCTTGTTGCAACGTATCGCGCTTTCGCGTGCCGTTAACGCGTCACGCGTGGCAGGGCTATCAGCACAGATGGCGCGGGTCTCGCACAGATGCTGCTCGTGCTTGAGACTGCTACCCCAAAGGCTGCCGGCATATGGTAGTTCTTGATCTGCTGCGTGTTCACGACCTGTCCGTGGAAGCTCCAGTAGTACACCAGCAGCGGCCCCGGGTCTGCCGTAAGCTCCAATCGTCCATCTTCCGAAGATTTTGCGTGCGCGTTTCTCGTTCGGTCCAGTCTTGCTTGCGCCGGCGAACCAGTCCCGTTGAACTGTTGCGGCGCTTGTCCCAACTGCCACTGGATCCAGAGGCCTCCCTGCGTGAAACTCTTCCGATGATCGGGTCCGGCTCCCCACCAGCAGCGCCGTGCCCCTGTCGCCGCGATTCTGGTAGTCCTGCTCCTTGTAGCGGGTGATTCCGGTGCGCTGTCGATCGCTGTGCACGTAGCTTCCCAGCCCCAAGTGGCGGCGGAATTGGTCGGCAAGCAGCGGGGCGCAGGTCCACGTATTCCACCATTCCACCGCAGTACGTTGGCCTGAATGTTTGGTTCAAACCCTTCTGGGTCCCTCCCTCTTCGGGCCAGCATCTCTTGGCTTCAACCAGGTCTTTCCGGGTTTTTCTCGCCGTCGTACCGCTGCGGAACCGGGAAGTTGGAGCGCTTTCTTCTTTGCCTCCTTTCGGCCAAACCATTGGCCAGGGTCGGGAACGGGGTGCCCACGTGGTGCGATCCCGCACCGAGATGGTGCGGAAACTCACTGCGGTCACCGCGAGGTGCATGCCCGCCGCACTCGGGCGTCCGTTGAAGGGCTCAGGGTGTGTATTAATGAGGCGTTCCCAAGAGGCATTGTGTTGGGATTTGAGGTACACGTCCAGGATGTCTGCGTCTTCGTGCTTTCTGCCGTTTGCAACTCCAATATCTCAGTATTAGCTCATGTTGGTCACCGGAACAGTGGTCATCAACACCTGCCGTGCGATACGAGCCTATGTGCGGTTAGGGCGTGCCCTTGTCGCGCATGTAGTAGTGGATGATGCCAGTCAATATAGGGCAACCCCTCTTTCCAGTATTGTCACACCCGTTTTTCTTCTCAAGCTCTAGGACACGTCCGTGCCAGTTGGTGGGTGGACGCACAGGGTCCTGATCCCATGCCATTTTCCACTTCGACGTGTCGACTCCGGACTCGTCCAGGCTTTGGACATCATCTTGACTACGCATCAAGCAGAGCTGCCAGCATCGGGATGAGTCCAGCGGCTCCGGTATGGTTGGTCTTGATCCGACCCGGTGTGTCAGTCGATCGATCAACCCTAGAATTGGCCAGGCGCGTGTAGGAGAGGCGCGATGATCATGGTTTGTGCGCGTCCGGCTTTCTCTCGGTATTCCCAAGCGGTCCATCTGCTGTGACCACGTCACGGCAGTCACAGGCTGTGCTCATACGTGCCACGTGGCGTTAGTCGGAAATATCGTGGAGGTGGAATACATAAGTCACCCCGTCGGGCTGCAGTTCCCAACTTTCCGCCAAATCACCGCGGATATCGTAAGGGTCGTCAGTCTCCGGGTTGTACTCGATGAGGCCGTTATAGATCGCTGGATTATTTTTGAATGATTGTGAAAATTCGTGAGGGTGCCATATAAGGTTAGGGAAGGCGTAGTCGTGCATCGGCACTATCCCTCCCGTACATCCCAAATATCGGTCCGAGGTTTGCGGCGCCCCGCTCGCCTTAGCTGAGGATGGCGGTCGGACCTGCGCGCAGTCTCACTGACGTGCTCGTCAGCCGCGGGCTGGCACGCGTGCCCGTCCCGGCAGGCCTCGTGGCTCTCGCTCGGACGCTCGGTCGGCGCAAAGCCTCCACCAGCACCGCGAGCGCGACGGTCATCGCCATCGCTATGATTATCCGACCGTGGAGACGATTCAAAGCACGGTTCAACATTGCAAACCCCCTGCGGCAGCGAAAGTCGTGCTGCCAATCGGTTGTCGGTCTTCAGATGGCGCAAGCCTAACAATACGAATTACAGGTGTCAACCCGATAAATATGTATTGATCAGTGTGAATTTATTCACATTACTACGTTTTTCGTAATATATAGCGCACGATCGACGTGACTTGCGGATGTACGTCAATACCAACAAAAACGCCGGTTGTTCCACCGGCGTTTCCAGCCAATGCAGTCCCCACAACGACGTCTTGCCGTCGCGGGCGTTCGGGCGGCATCAACCCCGATTCAGGTCAGCCTCAATGCGATTGGCGCGGGGCTTCAACACGGCGTAAAGCGCATCGTTCACCGGCGTGGCAACGCCGCGTGCTCGACCCATCCGAATCACCGTACCGGTCAACCCTTCCAGCTCCACGGGCCGGCCCTCGGCAAAGTCCTTGGCCAACGACGCCATGCCTGTCGCCGGGAAGTTGTCCAGTGCGTTCATCGACCATTCAAGAGAATCGGGTTCCAGGGGCGCTCCCGCTGCTTCTCCCACTGCGAGCGCCTCGGCGATCGCTGCTTCGATGGCCGCCCTGGTCTCCGGCACGGTCCTCAACTCGCCGTAAACGCAGCCGCTCGCCGCGCAAACCCCGGCAGAGCCCGGACAGATACGCAAATTTCTTCCACAGCATCCCGGTCATGTTTTCCAGCAGGTCCACCCGCCAGCCCGCGTCTCGGAACACCTGGTAAAGCCGCTCCCCTCGTTCGGTTATCCCCGTGGTCCGCTCCCGAAGGACGCCGATCCGGGCCCTCCCTGGGTCACCACTCCCGGTTCGCTGATCCGCCCTTCCAGATAAGCCGAACCAATCATCACCCGCTCGGCGCCGTATTCTTCGACCAACCGATCCCCGTTGTCGATGCCGTTCTGCAGCGTCAGCACGATGCTATCCGGCCCTAGCAGCGGGCCGATGGCATGTATCGCGTCATCGTTGTCGTACATCTTCACCGCAAACAGGATCAGCTCTTGCGGGCCCAACGTTGCGGGATTGTCGGTGGCGTTCCCGGGAACCGTGAACACCCCGTCGTTTCCGCTCTCCACGCGCAGCCCACCGCGCTGTATCGCCTCCAGGTGCGGCCCTCGGGCGATGAAGGTCACGTTGTGGCCCGCCCGCGCCAACAATCCGCCGAAGTATCCGCCCACGCCGCCGGCGCCCATTACCGCTATATCCATGCCGTCGCCTCCTGCGCCTTGCCTTTGTCTTTCAAGAATTCACCACGGGGTGACCGAATTCCTCCCGCAGGTCTCGTTTGAGCACTTTGCCCATCACGTTGCGCGGCAATTCGTCCACGAACACCACCGACCGCGGCCGCTTGAACCCTGCCAACCGGTCTCGGCAGAAATCGATGAGGTCCTGCTCGGTGACCCCGCGGTCCGCCGCCACGACCACGGCTCTGACCTCTTCGCCCCACTCCAGGTCCTCCACGCCAATGACCGCCGACTCGGCGACCCCGGGATGTTCCGCCAGGGTCAGTTCCACTTCCTCCGGGGAGATCATCTCCCCGCCGCGCTTGATGAAATCCCGCGCCCGGCCGGACAGGTAGATGTAGCCGTCCTCATCCTGCCAGGCCAGATCCCCGGTGTAGAGCCACCCGCCCTTTCAGCGTGTCCCTGGTGGCATCGTCCAGGCGCCAGTAGCCGGTCATCATCCGCGGGCCGCGAGCGACTATCTCGCCGACTTCGCCCTCGCCGACCGGATCCCCGTCTTCGGTGACAATCATCACCTCGACATCGTCCAGGGGCTTGCCGATCGAGGTCAGGCGGCGCAGCTTGGTCTCCACTTCCTCCGCCGTGCCGGTCAGATCATGGTCGTCCGGCGGCAGCATCGTGATGGTGGACGCCGTTTCGGTCTGCCCGAAGGCATTGATGAACCGCGTGCCCGGGAACGTTTCGATAGCCTGCCGAACCACCGGCAGCGGCATCGGTGCGGCCCCGTAGGTGATCACACTCAGTGATGACAGGTCGTAATCGGAAAACTTGGGATGGTCCATGACCATCTTCAGCATGGTGGGCACGAGCATCGCTCGGTCGGCCCGGTATTCCGCGACCAGGCCCAACCACCTTTCGGCGTCGAACTGCGGCATCACCACCAGCGTCCGCCCTCCGAACACCGCCGCCAGGGCCGCCTGCAGCCCCGCCACGTGATACATCGGCACCGTCAACAGATTGGTTTCCTCGACCTCCGGGTCGGCCGGCGCCACGTTCGTCAGCAGGAAAGTGCCGAAGCTGTCGTGGGTCAGCTGCGCTCCCTTGGGAACGCTCGTAGTGCCGGACGTGAACATGATAACGGTGGTCGCGTCTTCGTCGTCTTCGGGAAAGTGAACTTGTTCGGGGTCTGCGTTGGCCAACATGTCATCGTAGGCGTAACCGGCGTTCGCCGCCGGCGCGTCAAGCATGACGATACGTTCCACCGACAGCGACCCGTCGGTCGGAACCAGGGGCAGGTAGCGTTCACCCAGAAACAGCAGGTCAGGTTGCGCGATCCCCAGCATGATTGCCAGTTCTTCCTCTTTGGCGCGGAAGTTGATCGGCACGTAGATCGCGTCCAGTTGCGCCGCCGCGAAGTAAATTTCGATCAGGTGATGGCAGTTGGTCTGCATCGCCGCGACCCGGTCGCCCCGGCCGATACCCAGCTCCGACATTGCATTGGCCAGCCGGTTCACCCGCTCCTGCAACATCTCGAAGCTGATGTGATCGCCGTCAAATATGATCGCCGTGCGTTCCGGAACAATCGCCGACGCGATCATGAGAAATTCGGTCGTGTTCATCCTGTCTCCATGCGCAAATTCTACTCTCTTGACGGCACGCTAGCCGTTGCCGCCAACCGTCGTTCCAAAGCCAGTCCGGCGTCCAGCGGCATTTCGCATCCGTCGCCCCACGCCCGCCTCAACCCGGCGGCAAATCCGGCCGGCAGTTCGGCCAGCCGGCGGGCGGCTTGCCAGGCTGCCGGTACCAGCACTTCAGGCGCCACGACCCGGCTGATCATTCCGTAGGCCATCGCCGCGGCAACGTCAAAGCGGCGCCCGGTATACAGCAGGTCCAACGCCACCGACGGTCCCGCGTTGGCCGGCAGCGTCTGGCTGCCCCCTGCGGCGGGGATCATGCCCAGTTGCACTTCGGGCATGGCAAATACCGTGTCCGACGCCGCGATGCGCAGATCGCCCAGCAGCATTATCTCCACGCCTGAACCGATGCAATAGCCGTGCACCGCCACAATTATCGGCTTGTCCAGCCCGATCAATTGTCCCCAGACATCCCGTTGCCAGCGCGCGTTCCGAGCGATCACCTGCGATGGCGCCGTTCCGAACTCGCTCAGGTCGGCGCCGGCGCAGAAAGCGCGGCCCCGGCCGGTGATGAGAACCGCGCCAATTTCATCGTCTTCGGCCACCGCGTGCAGCGCTTCGGCAAAGTCGTCCCGCATCGCCACCGAGTAGGCGTTCAGCCGCTCGGGACGGTTCAGCGCCAGATGGGCGACCCGGCCCTCCTTTTCAAAGATGATGGCGGGAAATGCGACGCTCATTCGCTTACGCCATCAGTCGAGCGGGATCGCCCGCCGCATCATGTCGTCCAGATCGACCTCCGTGCTGCCGGCCCCAATCTCAGACAGCACGTTGGCGTCGCTCACCGAAAACGTCAGCAGCCCGTGCGCCTCCGCCACCCGATTCACCGCCGGAGGCCGGATGTGCCAGTCGTGATGATGGTTGGCGACTTCAATCCCGTGTACCCCGTCTTCGATGACGATGTTGGGCGTGTAATACCCAGGATGGCAGTAGGTGCGAAACAGGCGTCCGCCGGGCAGGTACAGTTCGGTGCAATGGTACTCGTCGAATGGACTGCTCACCGGACGCACGTCGATCTCCTGTCCCGGGATGATTATCGCCTCGCCGGGGAAGTGCTGCTCCACCACCCGGTGCAAAGCCAGGCCCCAGTCCCGCCGCCAGTGGTCGGTCACCGCGATGCCATCCAACCCGGCTTGCTTGATCTGGGCGATCACCGTTTCTGCAATCTCGGGTGTCGGTTCCTGGAAGGCGAACATCTCGCCGACGTGTGTATGTATGTCCAAGCGTACCGTCATGAACCTGCGACCCCTTAGCGTCCGGTGAAGTGTGGTGACCGTTTTTCGGCAAAGGATCGCAGACCTTCGGCTCGGTCTTCGGTGCTCTGCAGGATGATGCTCAGGTCAGCTTCCAGCCGCAATCCCTGTGCCAGCGGCAGGTCTCCGGCGGCCGCGACCGCCTCCTTGGCATATCGCGCCGCGATAGGAGCGGCGGCCACTATCTGCTCCGCGATCTCGGCGGCGGTTCCCGCCAACGCGTCCGCCGCCGCCACCCGATTCACCAGCCCGGCGTTCAACGCTTCCTGCGCGGTAAGTGTCCGACCGGTCAGCAGCATATCCCGCGCCAACGCCGGCCCAATCAGTCGGGGGAGCCGTTGCGTCAGTCCATCGAACGGGAACCCGTCTCGCGTAGGCTCTCCCGCTCCCAGTAGAGCGCCCTCCGCTGCGATCCGTAAATCGGCGGCCAGGGCGATCTCCAACCCGTGGGCGACGGCGTCGCCGTTCAGCAAAGCTAAAACCGGCATGGGCAGCCGGGCCACGGAACCCGCCGCGCTCATCCTTTCGAGCCAGGCCATGCGGTCCGTGGAAATGGCGTCGCGCAATTCGCCGGGAAGTTGATCGCGACCTACCCCGAACGTGTCGCCGCTTCCGGCGATCATCACCACCCGCAGCTCATCGTCCAGGCTCAGCTGCCGGCAACAGTCCGACAGTTCCTCCGCCACCGCCTCGCGGATGGTGACCCCGGAGGACGTGGATGGCAACGTCACCGTGGCCTGCCACCTGGTCTTCTCGCACTTGATGGTCTGGTAGCGCATTGGTTAAACGGGAATCTTGGTGAATCGGGCCTGGTTGCGTCGCTTTATCATGCCTGTGTATTCGGCTAAAATGGCAAACGCTCTCGGAACACGATCATGGCATTCAGCAAATTATACGACAGTGCCGCCGCTGCGGTGGCCGATATCCACGACGGAGCTACCGTGTTGCTCGGCGGCGTTTCTGGCGCCAACGCTCCCACCGCGCTGGTGTCCGCGCTGGCAGACCGGAACCTCCGGGATCTGACCTGCGTCTGCGACTCGACCTACTACGGGGCCGAGGCTCTGCACCGCCTGGTGGCTGCCGGCTGTGTATCCAGGATAGTTTCACCGGCGCCATTTGGTCCGGGCAGCGAGGACATTGTCCAGAATCTTTGGCGCTCCGGCGACTTGACCGTCGAAGTGGTCCCTTGGGGAACGTTGGCGGAACGCATGCGCTCAGCCGGCGCTGGCATCGGTGGTGTTTTCCTCCCGGTGGGCATCGGCACCCGCTTCGCCGAGGGGAAAGAGATCCGGGTGATCAATGGGGTCGAGTGTGTGTTTGAGACTCCCCTGCGCGGGGATTTCGCGTTGATCAGGGCCTTACGCGCAGATAGCGTAGGCAATCTGGTGTACGCGGGTGCCCAGAGAGGATGGAACTCCGCCGTCGTCTCCGCCGCCCGCGTCGCCATCGCCGAGGTTGATCAGGTCGTCGAAGCGGGTAGCATAGACCCGGAACGGGTGATCACGCCGGGCATCTTTGTTAACCGTATCGCCCGGGCAAGCTCGGCGCCCATCGGATAGCCCACCATGACGCTTGACAGACTGGATGCCCAGAGCGTGGCACGACGGGCCTCCGCCGAAATTGTTCCGGGATCGGTGGTCGCCGTCGGCGGCGGCTGGTCGGCCGCGGTGGCCGATCTTGTCCCCGCGGAAAAGGGCGTGTGGTTTTTGCGGGCGGGAGGGACGCTTTCGGACCTGCCCATCAACGCTGTCGACGCCGGCGCGGTCCTGCGCGGGGGCAATGTAGATCTATCAATCCTGACCGCCGCGCAGGTCGATTCCAACGGAAGTATCGCCGGTTACCATGCCGCGGACTACCCCGGTCCACAGGGACATGCCGGCCTCATCGACCTCGCGGCCGGAGCCCGCCGCGTGGTCGCCGTTTTGCCCCACACCGCCGATGATGGCTCTCCCAACATCGTAGATACCCTGGCCCTTGCCGCCTGATGGGGTCCGCTGCGTCGACACGGTCGTGACCGACGTCGCCGTGTTGCGCGTGTCCGAAATCGGACTCACCCTGACCGAAGTGGCCCCCGGATGGTCCGCAGAAGACGTTCGCGCGATGACCGCAGCCTCCATCAGCATCGCTCCTGTCCTGCGGGAGATGGGCTTCGCTTTCCCGCCGGGCAAGCCGCCCAGCAAGGTCTACGCCGACGGCCCATCCGCCATCGCGGACTTGCCCGACGGCGCCACCGTGTTCATCGACGGCTTTGGCGGACCTGGCGGCATGGCCCACCACCTGCTTGTTTCGCTTCGGGATCGGGGCAGCCGCGCCTTGACCATCGTGAGCAACACCGCCGGGATCGCCCGCGTCGTCAGCTTCGGCACTCCGCCAGGACGCACCGCGATCGACCATAGCGTGCTAGTCGAGAACGGTCAGGTCGCCAAGGCCATTGCATCGTTTCCGGTCTCGCCCTCGGTGTCTCGGCCGTCCGAGTTCGAGCTGGCCTATCGTCGGGGCGAGGTTGACTTGGAGTTGGTACCCCAGGGCACTCTCGCGGAGCGCCTTCGCGCCGGCGGCGCCGGCATCGAAGCTTTCTACACTCCTACCGGCGCTGGCACCCTCATCGCCGAGGGGAAAGAGAGCCGGGTGATCAACGGACGCGAGCATATCCTGGAACACGGCCTGCGCGCGGACTTCGCCCTGATCCGCGCCTGGAAGGCTGACACCCGGGGCAACCTGGTGTACCGGGGCACCTCACGCAACTTCAACGCGGTCATGGCTCCGGCAGCGCAGGGTTACCGTGGTCGAGGTCGACGAGATAGTGCAACCGGGTGAGTTGGACCCCGAAGCAGTGGTTACCCCCGGAATATTCGTCCAGCGCATTGTGCGCCGACCCGACGGTTTCACCGGCTACGAATAAGCCGAATGGCCGTCGTCCGGGAGACCCTGATATGAACGACGACAAAGAACGCCTTGACCGGGCCATCATCGCAATGCGGGTGGCAAAGGAACTGCCGGCCGGTTCTTGCGTCAACCTCGGCATCGGGATACCAACGCTGGTCTCCATGTTCGTGGATGACGACAGCGTGGTTTTCTACCACAGCGAAAGCGGCGTGCTGAACTGCGGCCCGCTGGCCGAGGAAGGAAGCGAAGACATCGACCTGATCAACGCCGGCGGCCAGTTCCTCCAGCCTGTCCCCGGCATGGCCTATTTCTCCTCCGTTGACGCTTTCGCGATGATCCGCGGCGGGCACGTGGATGTTACAGTCCTCGGCGCGCACCAAGTTTCGGCCACTGGCGACCTGGCCAACTGGATGCTCCCCGAACGCGGCGTCGGCAATATCGGCGGGGCGATGGATCTGGCCGCCGGGGCCGATACGGTCATCGTCGCCATGGAGCACAACGACCGCAGCGGCAACCCCAAGGTGGTCCAAGAGTGCGACTTTCCCATCACCGGCCGGGGCTGCGTGTCACTGGTAGTGACCGACGTCGCCGTTTTGGAGCCTACAGCCCAGGGAATGGTGCTGAGGGAAGTCGCCCCCGGCTGGACCCCGGAAGACGTGCAGGAAGTCACGGGCGCGCGCCTGATCATCCCTGAATTAGTAGTCGAGTACGAAGTGTAGGGGTCCGGTCACCGATGGGCATGTTCACGATCACCGTTAGTGTCGCCAACCCCCTTGGCGGCGATCATATCGACGTCGATGCCCTCGTCGACACCGGCGCAGCAGACTCCATGTTCCCGGCATCGTTACTGGAAAGATTGCATCTCGCGCCACGTTCCCGGTTGGACTATGTGCTAGCCGACGGCACGGATGTAACGTTCGGACGGGGCCAGGCCGTCATACGCGTGGAAGACCGTGACGGAATATGTCCGGTCATCTTCGGACCCGAAGGCGACGACAACTGTCTTATCGGAGGGACCGCTCTCCAGATTTTGATGCTTTCGGTTGACCCAACCAACGAAGTCCTGATCCCTACGCGTCGCGCCAGACTCGGCTACGGTGGCAGGTTATGATCGACGGATAGCACGCGGCGTTAGCAATCGCCGTCGTCGGCGCACCGCGCTATGCCAACCGAGCCAGCACGGCGAATGGCAGCGAATTTGCTCTGTGGCCCCCCTGCTTAGCGGCATCGTTCGCAGTTTGACTTGCCCCGCCCCTAGTGCTACATTCACTCTACAACTGAACGCCTCACGCGACTCTGGCGGGAGCTTGGGTAAACCAGGCTGAGAGGGCGGCAAAGTTCGTCGCCGACCGTCTGTACCTGACCCGGGTAATGCCGGCGGAGGAACAGCAGGTAGCATGAATTTTGAGCCGCCGGGCATTCGCCAGGCGGTTTCGTCTTTATTGGCGCCCGCCGATAGCCCACCAACGCCGCGGGGCACTACACAGGAGAGTAACAACGATGGCCGATGAACTGGTAATTGGTGGCGTGTCGTTTTCTTCCCGACTGATCGTCGGTACCGGCCGGCATCGCAGCATGCAGGAAATGATCGATTCCCTCGAGGCCTCGGGCACCCAGATGGTCACCGTGGCCATCCGCCGACTCGACCTGGACAATCCCGAACAGAACATCCTCGAGCACATCAACCTCGACAAGTACCACATCCTGCCCAACACCGCCGGTTGCCGCACCGTTGAGGAGGCCTTGTTCGTAGCCCGCCTCGGCCGGGAGGTCGCCCAGACCGACTTCGTCAAGCTTGAGGTGATCCCCGACGCCAAGTACCTGTTCCCCGACCCCAACGGCACCCTCGAAGCGGCCCGCCAATTGGTCGCTGAGGGCTTCAAGGTTTTGCCCTACATACACGCGGACCCGGTCCTGGCCAAGAACCTGGAAGAGGTCGGTTGCGTAACCGTCATGCCCCTGGGCTCCGCCATCGGCTCGGGTCAGGGCATCCATACCATCGAAGAGGTCCGCATCATTCTCGAGAACGCCACGGTGCCGGTGGTGGTGGACGCTGGCTTGGCCGTCCCCTCCGACGCTTCGAAAGCGCTGGAAATGGGCGCCTCCGCCGTCCTCGTCAATACCGCCATCGCCCAGGCCGAGAATCCGGCCATGATGGCCGACGCCTTCCGCAAAGGCGTGGAGGCCGGCCGGCAGGCCTATCTGGCCGGTCGCATACCCGTGCGCACCGAGGCCATCGCCAGCAGCCCTCCCACCGATGTCCCGGAACCGGTCGCGGCCGCCTGAGCGACGCCCATGGGCGCGAGCCTACCCAACCCCTGCCTGTGCCTGGTCACCGACCGGCGCGTTTGCCCGCCGGACGAGTTGTCCGGAAGGGTTTCAGCCGCCATCGCCGGCGGAGTGGATTTAGTCCAGCTTCGCGATAAGGAGGAATCCGGCGGCGCGCTCCTCGAACTCGCCACCGCTTTGGCGGGTGTCACGCATGGGTCCGCAATTCTCCTGGTAAATGAGCGGGCCGACGTGGCCATAGCCGGCGGCGCGGACGGTGTACAGCTGGGAGAAGCCGCCATGCCCACGAATTTCGTGCGCCCAATCCTTCCCCAGGGGTCGATGATCGGTCGGTCGGTGCACTCGGTAGACAGCGCAACCCGGGCCCAGGACTCCGGCGCGGATTTCCTGCTGGTCGGCACCATGTTCGCCACCCGATCCCATCCCGGCGAGGAGCCGTCCGGACCCGGACTGCTGGATCGCATCCGGTCGGCGGGCGTGCAATCACCGCTGCTGGCCATAGGAGGCATCACCGCCGACAATGTCGCTCAGGTGATCCAGGCCGGCGCTGACGGGGCTGCCGTTATCACCGCCATTCTTGCCAGCGACGACCCCGAACGGGCGGCATCTCGAATTAAGTCGGCCATGCACGACGCGGTCGGGGGCATCGGCGAAAACCGGCGTCCCGGTAGCCGCTACACTACGAGCCGGAGGTGAGCGCCGGAATGATCACTCTGCAAGTCAATGGCAAGCCTCGCGATATCGACGAGGGCCTCAACCTCCAGTCCTATCTGGCAACCATCGACGTCAACATGCGGTTCATCGCCGTGGGTTATAACGGCCAGGTAGTTCGCAAAGAGGACTTCGAGAAGGTGGCACTCCACCCGGGCGACGCCCTGGAAATCGTCCGCCCCGTGGGCGGCGGCTGATCTCATGTCCACCGATTCGGGCGGCGCTGACGCCGCCCTGGATCAGCTCTTCGAAACCATTGCGGACACCAACCCGGATCGCGTGGATGGGTGGATCCGCGACGAGCCCGGTCATTGGGGCTTTTTTGCCGGCCAGGCGGTGCTGGCCGTCCGTAACCTGGTAGACCGCAGCTTGGAAGAACCGGAGAGGCGCTACGTCTGGCATCGAATGTGGCTCGTCCTCCAGAAGCGTCGGGCCGATCTAGAAACGTGGCACACCTGACCTTATCCGATTGGCCGGCGTTGCAAACTGCCTGTCCCATCAGCCGGTTCGGGCAGTTGAGGGATTGACGTGGTTCCTCTCCCTTCCCTTTCTTCCAGGCGCTCGCCAATGGTTTAGGCGACTTGCCCCAGCCGACCACGCGACGCGTCGGTTAGGCCTGCGGCGGTATCGTTACGCCACCACAGCTATCGATTCGATCTCCACAACGTAGGCCGGGTTCGCCAACTCGCTGACAACTAGCAGCGTGCTGGTGGGTGGATTGCTGGGGAACAGTTCGCCGCGGACTGCCCGCACCGCCGGCCCGTGTTCAATGCCAGTGACGTAGGTGGTGGTCTTGACTATGTCGGCCAGGGTTCCCCCCGCCGCTTTCACCGCGACCTCGATGTTCCGCCAGATCTGCCGGGTCTGCGCTTCCGTGTCCCCCGCCCCGACTACGTTGCCGTTTTCGTCCTGTGCGACCATGCCGGCAATGTAAACGGTGTTGCCAGCCTTCACCACTGCGGTGAAACCTGAAGGTGAGGGGTCCGCGATCCCGCTGGGGTTCATGTACGTGCTGTTGGCCATCAGAAAGCCTCCATTTTGTGGTTCGTTCGGATTATACCGTTGCCGGCGCGATGCCGGGGTCGGATTGCGCTTCAGTTGCGCGGGGCGGCAGGCGCGGCGCTTTGGCCAGGAGGATCAGCAACCCGGCGCCGGCATACATCGCCATCAGTACGATGAAGACGGCGCTGTAGCTGTGGGTGAACTCGAACAGGTAACTGCCGAAAACCGGCGCCACTCCGAGCGCTGTAGTCTGCAGCGGCCCCAGCGAGCCCAGGATCGCGCCAAAGGACCCGCGCCCGAAGTACTGCGCCAGGAGCATGTGCTCCAGGGTGCCCACCGTATTCGAGAAAAATCCCCACAGCACGGCGAACAGATAGGCCGTCCAAAGCGAGTTGACCCCGGTCGCCAGGAACAACCCGGACACGACGGCCCCGGCGATGGTGAGCACCATGCAGGGCCGCGGCCCGAGTTTGTCTGCCAGGAACCCCCAGGCCAAGGTGGTCAGCGCCAGAACCGCGCCCAGGCTGCCAACTCCCACCGCCTGCGGATTCGTCAACCCCGGCCCTGATTCGCTGACCAGGAACGGTACCAGGATGTAACCCAAGCCCGCCGACGCTGTCACGGCCAGGACGGCGGTACCCGCGATGCACCAGTAAGCGCGAGTGCGCATCGCCTCGCGGGCCGTCCAGCTGAACTCCTGTACCGGCCCCTGGGCTCGCCCGCCCGCCCGCCGGTCCGCGCCTCGCCGGAGCGGCTGAACCGGTGCGGCGGTGGGCCGGTCTCCGTCGGGCAACATGCCTATCTCTTCGGGCGTCCGGCGCATGATGAAGAAAATCGGTACTGCCAGCGCCAGCATGAACAATCCGACGTAACCGTAGGAGGCGCGCCAACTGTGCGTTACCGCGATCAGGGAAATTATCTGGATGTTGATGGCGCCGCCCACGGGCCGCGCCATGCCATTGATGGCGAGGGTCACCCCCCGCCGGCGGCGGAAGAAATTGATCGTGGCTGTCCGGGGCACGATGCCGATCAGGAACGGGTTGCTCAGCGCCCTGGCAATAATGTAAGCCGTGAAGAATTGCCACAAGGTGTCGGTGTTGACCGCAGACATAGCCAGCAACGCGCAGCCGACCGCCAAGAGTCCCATGGTAGTCAGGACACGGGGACCATAGCGGTCGGCCAATGCGCCGGCAATGGGAGCCAGGCCACCGGAAACCCAGGTGCCGGCCGTCACTGCTAGGGATAGGGTGCCGAAGTCCCAGCCGGTATCCTCCACGATGTACACCTGAATGGCGCCCATGACCACCTGGGAAACGCTGGCTCCCGAGGCGGAGGTAAGGCAGGCCATGCTCAGCACCAGCCATCCGTAATAGAAGGGGACCCGCGGATACCAGGCCAGCAGGCGACGAAGGGATGACTTATTCAGGAACAACCTCAGAGGGGACGGACCCCGGGGTGACGCCGTCAGCGCCCAATCCTCCGGGCAATATCAATGCGACCGCAATATTACTCCCATTCGGGGAATAGGTAAAATGACGGAGCAAAAAACAAACCGGGGCGGTTATGGTAACCGCCCCGGTCCAAATCCCGGAGGGAGTATTGCCGGGGACTAGAAGTCCATCGGCGGGGCCGCCGGCATCGCCGGGGTCGGGTCAGGGATCTCGGTGATCATGGACTCGGTGGTCAGCACCATGGCCGCCACGGAGGCCGCGTTCTGCAGCGCGGAACGGGTCACCTTCACCGGGTCGATGATGCCGCGCTCGAGCATCGGGCCAAACTCGCTGACCTCGGCGTCGTAGCCGTAGTCATCGGACTGGTCCTTGACGTCGTGCAGCACAACGGCGCCTTCGCCACCGGCGTTTTCGACGATGATCTTCAGCGGCTGCTCCAGCGAGTACCGGATGATATTGAGGCCAACGATCTCGTCACCGGTCAGTCCGGTCACGCCTTCCAGCGCGCGCTGGGCACGAACCAAGGCGACTCCGCCGCCGGGGACGATGCCCTCTTCCACCGCGGAACGGGTGGCGGACAGCGCGTCTTCCACGCGGGCCTTGCGCTCCTTGAGCTCGATCTCGGTGGCAGCGCCAACCTTGATCACCGCGACGCCGCCGGACAGCTTGGCCATCCGTTCCTGCAGCTTCTCGCGGTCGTACTCGGAGGTGGTGTCTTCGATCTGGGCCTTGATCTGGTTGATGCGGGCCTGGATCCCGTCTTCGGAACCGTGACCCTCAACGATCGTCGTGTCGTCCTTGGTGGAGGCGACGCGGCGGGCGCGGCCGAAGTCGTCGATGGTGGCGGAGTCCAGCCGGCGGCCGGTCTCTTCGCTGATCACCGTGCCACCGGTCAGGATGGCAATGTCTTCCAGCATGGCCTTGCGGCGGTCGCCGAAGCCGGGGGCTTTGACGGCCAAGACGTTCATGATGCCGCGCAGCTTGTTGACGACCAGCGTGGCCAGGGCCTCGCCGTCCACGTCCTCAGCGACGATGACGGCGTTCTTCTGACCGACCTGGAGCAACTTCTCAAAGGGCGGGGACCAGGTCAGCAACGGCCGAGATCTTCTTGTCGGTGATGATGACGTAAGGATCGTCGACGGCCGATTCCATGCGATCGCTGTTGGTGATGAAATAAGGAGAGATGTAGCCGCGGTCGACCTGCATGCCTTCCACGTACTCGATCTCGTCGGTCAGGCCGCGGGACTCTTCCACGGTGATGACGCCGTCCTTGCCGACCTTCTCCATCGCTTCGGCGATGGTCTCGCCGATCGCGTCTTCGTGGGCGGACAGGGAAGCAACCTGCCCGATGCGCTCGCGGGTCTCCACGGGCTGGGACATCGACTGCAACTCGATCACGACCTGGCCGACCGCGCGCTCGATGCCGCGCTTTATGGCCATGGGGTTCGCGCCAGCGGTGACGTTCTTGAAGCCTTCGTGGATGATCGCCTGCGACAGCACGATGCTGGTCGTGGTCCCGTCCCCGGCAGCGTCGTTGGTCTTGGTGGCGGCTTCCTTGAGCAACTGCGCGCCCATATTCTCAAAGGCGTCGGGAAGCTCAATTTCCTTGGCGATGGTCACGCCGTCGGAGCAGACCTGCGGCGGGCCGAATTTCTTGTCCAGCACGACGTTGCGGCCGCGTGGGCCCAGGGTAATCTTAACCGAGTCGGCCAGGGTGTCGATGCCGCTTCGCAGCAACTTGCGGGCATCTTCGGAGTATGCCAACTTCTTTGCGGGCATTGCGTTTCTCCTCAGTAGGGTGTGTGCGATTCTCGAACGGTTGGTGCTAGCCGATCTTGGCGAGCACGTCGGACTCGCGCATGATCAGGTACTCTTCGTCGCCGTCTTCGTACTCAGTACCGGCATACTTGGAATAGATGACCTTATCGCCTACCGACAGTTCCATGGGGATGCGGGTGCCGTCATCGGAGGGGCGACCCGGGCCCACGGCGACGACCTCGCCTTCCTGCGGCTTCTCCTTGGCGGTGTCCGGCAAAAGAATGCCGCCTCGGGTCTGCGTTTCCTGCTCCATGGGCTTGATGACGATGCGTTCGCCAAGTGGTGTGAAAGTGGCCACTGAATGCCTCCTTGCGTGGTGTTGTTGGCTTGGATTACGCCGCGATCCCCATCGGGGAAGCGGCTACTTCTTGCGTGCGTAGTCTGTGGTATAGAAACCGGATCCCTTGTAGATCACCGGCACCGGATGGAACACGCGTCGCGCGACGCCGGAACACTCGGGGCATTCCCCTTCCGACGATGCGCCGAAACTCTGCCTCCGGTCGTACTCGTACCCGCAGGTAGTGCATCGGTAAACGTACCTTGGTATGGTAACCTCCTTGCATCGGCCGGTACGTGTTCGGCCGGCTAGGCTCGACATCTATTTTGGCCGGCCCGTAACCGTTTTCCAATGGTGTTAATGTTAAAATTGCGTTGGAAATCGCTGCACTCTGGATGAAATCGGCCATCCCATGGTGACCCGCCACTTCAACGCCAATTCCATCGCGCGAACGATTGACGCCAACGGCGTCGAGCTTCAGCCCGAGCTGGAAGGCATCCTTCGTAACGCCGTCCGCGCCCTGGGCGGCAGCGCCGCCGTGGTTGCCACCTGGGACGACGCCATGCGCCGTTTCGTGATTACCGGAGCCTACGGGCTGGACGGCCCTCAAATCGCCCGCATCCGTCCCCTGCTCAACGAGGCCATTCCCGACCTCGCCCTGAGCCGGGAGCAATTCGCGCTCCTGTCCGCGCTGTTTCCCCAATCGGCCCTGCCCGTTTCCACCACCGGGGAATTGCAGAACCCGGTGATGGCCGTCCCCTTGTACACCAACGACGAGACCGTCGGGCTGATCTTCGTGCTCCGCTCCTCCGATGCCGCAAATTTCTCCCAACTCGATCCGCCCGTCCTGGCCGCCTTCGCCGAGCAGGCCGCCATCGCCGTGCAATCGGCCCGCCTCGCCCACCTCCTGACCCAGGAAAAGCGGCGCGTGGAATCGATCCTGGATGGGAGCGCTGACGGCATCTACACCGTGGACGCCGACCGCCGCATTGTCAGCGTCAATCCCGCGATGGAACGCCTATTGGGCCGCCCCGGAGAAGAATTGCTGGGACTGCCTTGCGCCGTCGCCCTGAACTGGCGGGACCGGGAGGGTCGCCCCGTCTGTCCCGGACGCTGCCCGATGCTTCATGCCCATCAATCCTCTGCCGGTTCGGACGGCAACGTGACCGAGATCGCCGCGGCCGCCCGGTCCTCCACCGGCCAGCGCACCGAGGTTGCCCTGGTGTATTCCGTGGTCCGATCCCCCGAAATGGCCCCACTCAACGCGGTGATCAACGTCCGCGACATGACCCGCGTGCGCGAAACCGAGGAGATGCGCTCAACCTTCCTCTCCATGCTGGAACACCAGCTTCAAACCCCTCTGGCGATCATCAAGGGCTACACCAACACCCTGTCCCGACCCGATGCCCGATGGGACGACGACGCCGTTCGCCGTAGTTTCGAGGCCATCGAGGAAGAGACTGACCGCATGAGCCAACTGATGGAGCGCCTGCTGCTGGCGTCCCGCCTGGAAGCCGGGGCTCTTCCCCTCAACTCTGAGCCGGTTGACATGGCCGGCCTCGCCCGGAGGGTGATCGAGCGCATGCAATCGACCTCTGACAAGCATCGCCTTTCCTCACGATTTCCCGACGACCTGCCAGCCGTGACCGGGGATCCCGCTCTGCTGGAACAGGTGTTGGTCAACCTGGTGGACAACGCCATCAAGTACTCTCCTGCCGGGGGCCCGGTCCAAGTTTCCGGGACGCAGGACGCCAGGGGCTGCGTCAGGGTAACGGTCACCGACACCGGCATGGGCGTACCCCGGTGGGAATCGCGCCGTATTTTTGAACGCTTCCACCGCTCCCGGACCCAAACAACCACGCTGTCCCGCGGCATGGGCCTGGGGTTGTACATCTGCGACGCCATCATGCGCGCCCATGCCGGCGAAATCTGGGTCAACAGCGCCCCCGGAGACGGCTCCGCATTCTCCATTGTTTTTCCCGACGATGCCGGTGCGCTCCTATGACCGTTGGAGATCGGCGCACCATCATGGTCGTGGACGATGAACCCCACATCGTGCGCTTCACCGCCATGAACCTGGAAGTCGAAGGCTACAACGTCGTAACCGCCGCGAATGGAGCCCAGGCGCTTGAAACGCTGGACAACGGCGATCCCGTCGATCTGGTGGTTCTCGACGTCATGATGCCAGAGATGGACGGGTTTGAAACCCTCCGGCGCATCCGGTCCGGTTCGTCGGTGCCGGTCATATTCGTGACAGTTCGGGGAGACGAGTCCGACCGCGTGGCTGGTTTGGACTTGGGAGCCGACGACTACATCACCAAGCCTTTCAGCCCCAGGGAACTGGCCTCACGGATTCGGGCCCTGTTTCGCCGTATCGAGGCGACCGAGCCGCCCCGTCTCCAGCAAGTGATCGTCGACGACTGGCTGACCATCGATTTCGACCAGAGCCGGGTGCTGGCCGGCGGTCAGGAGATGCACCTCCGTCCCACCGAATATCGCCTGCTTTACCAGATGGTCAGCAACGCCGGGCAGCTTCTCACCCACGACACGCTCCTGGAACGGGTGTGGGGCCCGGAGTATCGTGGAGAGCACCAGTACGTGCGAACCTACGTCACCTACCTCCGGCAAAAGCTGGAGCGCGACCCCCGCAAACCCGAATACATCCTCTCCGAGCGCGGTCTCGGCTACCGTTTCCGCGACCTCGGTCGCTGACCCCGGGCGGCGGCGTTACTGCTCGCCTCGCCAGGCGTAGCGCTTACGTACCGGGTCACCCGCCGGCGTTCCGCGCCATCGCGATTTCTCTGGCGGTCTCCTCCGGGGGAACATCCGTCAGCGTGATTCTATCCACCCACTTTACGCTGGCGTAGCAGGCCTGCCCGACGCTCACCAGGCGACACGGTCCGCCATGCTCCTCGGGCAGGTCCGCGCCGTTCAGCCTGGTCGCGAGCAGGATGCCGGAAGGATCATCCAACGGAACGCCCACACGGAAATCGGCCGCCGCGATCGCCGCATACCGGGCCTCCGGTAACGGCTTCACGATGGCGAGCAGGGCAGCCAGCGGCACGCCTTCCCACGCCTGCCCCGGCGCCGACCAGCCTTCCACGCACTGAAAATCGTCGACGATGGTTTGCCCCGTCAACTCCATCAGTTCCGTGGAGTTAAACACCTTCGGTTGTCCTGCCAACCCGTCCACTGTCAGTCCCGGCCAGACCTCGGTACGGCCGTGATGGTTGTCAAAAACGGGCAGGCCGTCCAACACGGGCGCGTGTTCGGATTGCGTCATGATCGCACCTCCCGGCTAAACCGGCGTTCCCCGCGTCATCGTCACAGCAACCGCGACAATCAGGATCGTGAGCAGCACGTTGATCCGGGCTATCCATACCACCGCCTTGCGGAGCGCGGGCAGGTAACCGGGCGGCTCGGCTCCCGCGAGCATCGCCTCAATCAGCCGGTTGGTGTACGGCCCGATGATGAAGTCGTGCATCGCGCTCAGCCAGATCACGACCGCCACCAGCGCCACCTTGAGCTGGAGCGTCGCCGCAAAGTGCCCGCCCAGGCTGAAAAACTCGGCAAACCCAATCCCGTAGCGCGTGGGCAGGATGTACAGCCCGGTGGCCACCAGCAGCACGATGCAAATCCACGAAATCACTCTGAAGCGGCGCGCCAGGGTGCCGAGCATATCCGGAGGAAGCACCGGCGTCTGGCCGGGTGGGGGCGCAAATCTCCGCAACACCGGGATCAGCACCAACGCCAAGAACAGGCTGCCGCCGATCCAAACGATCGCCGATGCCAGGTGGATGAACACTGCCGCTTGATACATTTCTCGTGGTCGCCTGGGACCGGGGTTTCCCGTACCGGATCCGCTCTGCAATATCAGCATACACCCATCCATTCGAGGTTGAACGCTCGGCGTCCGACGGTTATGCTGTGGCCGAACCCGACCAACAGGGGGACAGCGTCGGCAGTCCGTCGCCACGCTTCCCCGGAGATGAAGTCATGCGATTGGAAGGCAAGGTCGCCATCGTCAGCGGCGGCGCTCACGGAATGGGCGCCGTGGAATCCCGCCTGTTCGCGCGCGAAGGCGCAAGGGTAGTCATCGCCGACATCCGGGCCGATGATGGCCGGCAGGTGGAAGCCGAAATCAACGAGGCCGACGGCGAGAGCATCTACGTCCACACCGACGTGACCAGCGAAGACGCCTGGGCCAACGTTGTCGCGCAGGCCGTTTCCCGCTTCGGACGCCTGGACATTCTCGTCAACAACGCCGGCATCAGCAGCCGCGCCGTCCCGGACGACGACAGCCTGGAAGCCTGGTCCCGCATCATGGACATCAACTCCACCGGCGTCTTCCTCGGCACGAAACACGCCGTCGCCCAGATGCGGCAGAACGGCGGCGGGTCCATCGTCAATATCTCGTCAATCGCCGGCCTGGTCGGCATGCTCAGCGGCCATCCGGCCTACAATGCGTCCAAGGGCGCAGTCCGAATTTTCACCAAGGCCATGGCGGTTCGCTACGGCACGGAGAACATCAGGGTAAACTCCGTCCATCCCGGCTACATGCCGCCCATGATGGGGAACATTTCCACAGAAGACGTGCGCGACGGTCGGCGTACCATGATCGAAGACCAGGTGCCCATGGGCCGTGAAGGGCGCCAGGAAGAGGTCGCCAACGCCGTGCTGTTTCTCGCCAGCGATGATGCGTCCTACATCACCGGCGCCGAGTTGGTCGTTGACGGCGGTTTCACAGCCCGCTGATCTCGTCGCGCGACTGTCCTCATTGAACCCTCGATCCGGGAACCGTCGATCCGGCGCAACGGTCGTTAGAAAGGAGAAAACGGTTTGCCGATTACCGAGGTAACCATCATTCGCCGTTGCGCTGACTGCTCCGCGCAGACCGGAACCATGACGGTCAAGAAGGACAACATGCGGCTCATGACCAACGAACTGGCCTGGTGCGATGACTGCGGCGTGGAAACCCGCGAGACCCGCGACATCGCGGAGCGCGAGGAAACCGTCACGGCTGAACAGGCCAGCTACCCCGGCAATCCCGCGGTGGCCGACGTGTCCTCCGCCGAGTTTCGCCGCCGTCGCAGCGCGGGCATCAGCGTCTAGCCGGCCGGCTAGGGAGCAGTTTATGTTTGCGGCAGACGCTATCCTCGAATTGCAGAGCTTGGTTGCTTCGGAGTCGGCTGACGCCGTCGGCGGGGATTTCGACCTCGCCACCGGCGCGCTCCTGGTGGCATCCACCGACGACCCCAACGTTGACATCGACGGGTGCCGCGACAACCTCGATCGCATGGCCGACGCCGCCCGGTCGCGGATGCCTGCGGACCCTGGACCCTTGGAGGAGCTCAACGCGATTACCGATCTGCTCTTCGGCGTGATAGGTTTCGCCGGCAACCGGGACGACTACTACGACCCGAACAACTCGTACCTGAATCACGTGCTGGAGCGACGGTTGGGCATCCCCATCACCCTCTCCCTGTTGTGTATCGAAGTCGCCCGGCGTGCTGGAGTTCCGGTTCTGGGGATCGGTATGCCGGGTCACTTTCTAGTCCGCCACCGAGACGAAGAAAACTATTTCGTCGACGCCTTCAACGGCGGGCTTCTCATGAATCGGGACGAATGCGGCGCGGTCATGCGGCAGGCCGCCGGCGATTCCACCCGCCTTGAGGAGCACCACCTGAACCCGGTGACTCCTCGGGAAATCCTGGCTCGCGTCCTCCGCAACCTGAAGGCGGTCTATTGGGACCGCGAGGAATTCGACCGCTGCATCACCACCATCGGCGCGCTGATGGCGGTATTGCCCGACAGACCCGAGGAACAGCGCGACCGCGGTGTCGTGCACCTCAAGGCCGGCAACCATCAACAATCCGCGGATGATTTCGCCGCGTATATTGAAGCAGCACCCCAAGCTGACGATATCGAGACCGTCAGGAATGCGCTCTCCAGATTGAGGGGTTCGCAGTCCTGAACCCATATAACCCATCCCAAAAAATGGAGCGCGATAATGCTTCGATACTTACTGGTCGGACTCGGCATATTGCTGGTAATCCCCCTGGCGTGGTTCGCCTGGTGGCTCCTTAGCCCGCTGTTCATCACGACGGAAATCAGTGAAGACTTCCCGTTGGCCTCCCGCGCCGTTGTCCCCTCCAACATGACCATGGCGGAAGTAGAGGACGCCATGGCCGCAGCGGCCAAGTTGGAACGGCCGGTAGACGAGGGCATGCCCGATTCCTCGGGCTCCGCAGGTTCTCAGGCTCAGCCGCAGGCGGGTCTCACCGGTCAGTTCCGCGGCGCCGATTCCTTCCACAAGGGCTCCGGCACGGCCACGGTTTACGATCTGGGATCGGACGGCGGGCACATTCTCCGGCTGGAGGACTTCCGCGTTACCAACGGCCCCGATCTGCGCGTGTTGCTGGCCAACTCCGCCAACCCGGAGAGCCACTCCGACCTGGAGGACGCGGGTTACGTGGAGCTGGGCAAACTGAAAGGCAACGTCGGTTCCCAAAACTATGTCATCCCGGCGAGCGTTTCGCTGGCTGATGTCCAAAGCGTGGTCATATACTGCCATCCGTTCCGAGTGGTTTTCAGCGTCGCCTCGCTCGAGACCTCGTCGGGATAATCCACCAGTGAGGGCCGAACCGTGGCTTACCTGCCGATAGAAGAGTACGGAATCGTCGGCAACATGCGAACTTGCGCCCTTATCGGGGGCAACGGGTCGGTGGACTGGTTCTGCTGCCCGGACTTCGATTCGCCCAGCGTGTTCGGCGCGATCCTGGACGACAAGAAGGGTGGGTACTTCAAGATCGCCCCCCTTCTCGACGCCCCGCCGGTGCAGCGCCAGGTCTACTGGCCTGACACCAACGTGCTCATCACCCGGTTCCTGGCCGAAAACGGCGTCGCCGAGGTCATTGACTTCATGCCGGTGGCGTCGCCTTTGCGCCCCCATCACCATACGGAATTGATCCGCCGCGTCAATTGCGTTCGCGGCGTGGTCCCGTTCTTCATGGAATGCTATCCCGCGTTCAATTACGCCCGGGACAAGCACCGGGTGGAGATAAACGAGAACGGGGCCGCGTTCATTTCAGACAACTTGGGCCTGCAGTTGTCCACCGATATCCTGCTGGAGCAACACGAGGGCGGCGTCCTCGGCGCGTTCGTGCTCAATGAAGGGCAGTCCTCTACGTTCTCGATTGGCGTGATGGGCGACGACACCGTCGACTACCATCCTCCCTCCGAACGGGAAAGCTCCGCCCTCTTCGAGGAAACCGTCTCCTACTGGCGGAACTGGCTTTCCCAGTGCACCTACAAGGGTCGGTGGAGAGAGAAGGTCGAGCGTTCCGCCCTCGTCCTCAAACTCCTCACTTACGAACCCACTGGCGCCATCATCGCCGCGCCAACCTGCAGCCTCCCCGAAGAGCTGGGAGGCGTGCGCAATTGGGACTACCGCTACACCTGGATTCGCGACGCCGCCTTCACCCTGTACGCGCTGCTCCGCATCGGCTTCACCAACGAGGCCAGTCAGTTCATGCACTGGCTGGAGGCCCAGATCGATCCCTTCGATGGCGATTGGAGCAATATCCAGATCCTCTACGGCATCGACGGACGCCGCAGTCTCGACGAGGTGACCCTTGACCACCTGGACGGCTATCGCGGCTCGAAGCCCGTTCGCATCGGTAACGGCGCCTACGACCAGCTCCAGCTGGATATCTACGGCGAGCTGATGGACTCCGTTTACCTATTCAACCGGTACGTGAGCCCATATCCTTCGACTTCTGGACCAAACTCCGCCAGATGACCAACTGGGTCTGCGACAACTGGCGGCTGGCCGACGAGGGCATCTGGGAAACCCGCGGTGGTCGGCAACAGTTCGTATACTCCAAGTTGATGTGCTGGGTCATGCTGGACCGCGCTATTAAGCTATCCGAGTTGCGCTCGTTCCCGTCGGAACGGCAGCTTTGGATATCCACTCGCGATGAGATTTACGAAGAAATCCAGAGCCGCGGCTGGAGCGAGAAACGCCAGGCTTTCGTCCAGCACTACGGCAGCGAGTCGCTGGACGCGTCCAACCTGCTGATGCCGTTGGTCTTCTTCATGTCTCCAACCGATCCCCGGATGTTAAGCACCATCGACGCTATTAACCTCAGCCCGCAGCAGGGCGGCCTCGTGTCGGACAGCCTCGTTTATCGTTACAACCACGAGCAGTTCGCCGACGGCCTGGCCGGACACGAGGGTACATTCAACATGTGCACTTTCTGGCTCGTGGAGGCGCAGACCCGCGCCGGCTGGGGGGACCCTCGGCGTCTGGATCAGGCCCGCCTGATGTTCGAGAAGATGCTGGGTTACGCCAACCACCTGGGCCTGTACGCCGAGGAGACCGGCCCCCGCGGCGAGGGCCTCGGCAATTTCCCCCAGGCTTTCACGCACCTCGCCCTGATCAGCTGCGCGTTCAACCTTGACCGTGCGCTGTCCGGCATCCGCTGACCAACAAGGAGCGCCAAGCATGCCAATCGAACAGGTGTCACCCGGCCTGGAACGGATCATAGGTTTAGATCAGGAAGTCGAATGGCTCGCCAGCGGTTTCGGCGGCGACGGTTCGGCTCTCGGCGTGCCGTGGTGGCCGGCCGAGGGTCCTGTCTGGTTCCAGGAGGGCGGCTATCTCCTGTTCAGCGACATCGGCGGCAACCGCCGCATGCGCTACAACGACGCCGACGGTCTGTCCGAGTTTCAGTCTGGGACCAACGAGGCCAACGGACTCGCCCGGGATCCGCTGGGCCGGCTGCTCGCCTGCGAACACGACGCCCGCCGCGTGACCCGGCAGGAGGCCGACGGCGGGATCACCGTCGTCGCCGACAACTACCAGGGCAAGCGGCTCAACCGTCCCAATGACCTGGTGGTCAAGTCCGATGGCGCCGTCTATTTCACTGACCCTTACCGCGATACCTACCCCGGCATGGAACTCGGGTTCGCTGGGGTGTATCGAGTATCTCCTGACCTCAGCGACATCGCGCTGCTGATCGACGATTACGTCGGGCCCAACGGGATCTGTTTCTCCCCGGGCGAGAGCATCCTGTACGTCAACGATTCCCGGGTGGGCCTCATCAAAGCCTGGGACGTTCGCCCCGACGGGGGTATCGAAAACGGGCGCCTACTGTGCGTGCTCGCCGACGAACGCCCCGGCGTGCCCGACGGCATGAAGTGCGACCTCGAAGGCAACATCTACGTGACCGGCCCCGGCGGCGTCTGGATTGTCGCTCCCGACGGGCATCATCTCGGCACCATCGCCCTGGGCGACGGCAGGCGCGCCACCAACGTCGGCTTCGGCGGGGGCGACTGGAAGACTCTCTACATCACCACCTTCGAAGAGCTTGGCCGGGTTCGCGTGAATATTCCGGGAGTGCCCGTGCCGCGTATCATCTGAGTGGCCGGGCAACCACAATGAAAAGGGCAGGTTCGCGGACCCGCCCTTCCCAGTTTGTGCCTTCTCTTTCCGACTATCTCCCGGTGCGAATGTAGTCCGCCACCTTCTCGCCGATCATTATCGTCGTGGCGTTGGTGTTCGCCCGTATGCAGTCCGGCATGACCGAAGCGTCGGCCACCCGGATGTTCTCCAATCCGTGGATCCTGCCCTGCTGGTCAACCACCGCCATGTCGTCGCTCGCCGGCCCCATCTTGCAGGTACCTGACACATGGTGGGACGTGCCCGAGTTCCGCATCAGCCAGTCGTCCAGCGACGCATCCGACGTCAGGTCGGCGTCAACCGGGTTGACCCGGTCGAGCAGGATATCCCGGTACGACTGGTGCTCTCCGATCTCGATACACGTGCGGATGGCTTTGCGCATCCGCTCCAGGTCATACGGCTCCTGGTAGTAGTTGTAGTCCAGGTAGGGGTATTCCGAAGGGTCGTTTGACTTGAGCCTCAGTTCACCCTTGCCTAGAGCCAGTTGCAGGCTCGCGCTGATCCCAATGTAGTTTTCGTCGTCGTCAATGACGACCTGCGCCGGCCGGTGTTCCGAAGTCATCAGCAGCGGCGAAATCTGCATGTCGTTGCGCAGGTACGAGTCCTCCACCGTGTACCTGAGCCCCACCTGGATCGCCGCCGCCTGCACGTCCGGCCGATCCCCGGCGGCGCGAAACAGCACGCACGCCGAAGGATGGTCGCGCAGGTTCTGTCCCACGCCCGGCAGCTCGTGAACCACCGGAATGCCCACTTCGCGCAGGTGGTCCGCCGGACCGACCCCCGACAGCAGCAGCAACTGCGGCGAGGCGATGGCCCCGCTGCTTACCACGATCTGGCCGCCTTCCACGGTGAACCGTTCACCTCCGCTCTCCCACCTCAACTCCCACGGCCCGATTCCCGTCGAACACTACGCGGCACGCCTGCACGTTGGCCCGCAGCGTGAAGTTCATGCGATGCCGCGCCAAATTCAGGTAGGCCAGCGCGGTGCTGATCCGGACTCCGTCCAGGGTGTTTCGCGCGCGGGGCGACACTCCGGTCGATTCCGGGTGGTTCTGATCTGGATCGTCGTTGAAACCCAGCGCCACGGCCGCGCTCTTGAACGCTGCGGAGTGCGGCAGCCATTCGTCCTGGCGATACCGGCGCACCGGTATCGGACCGTCCGTGCCATGCCAGTCGTCCTGGAAATCATGGTCATTTTCCATTCGGCGGAAAAACGGCAGCACGCTGGTGTAGGCCCACTCGTCGTTGCCCCATTCGGCCCAGCGGTCGTAGTCCTCCGGAATGCCGCGATACAACACCTGCCCGTTGATCGCCGAGGAGCCTCCGGTGGCTTTCCCGCGCGGGATAACCAGGTCGGTCTGTTGCGCCGTCACCCTCGCGCTGTACGCCCAGCTGTGCGGGCCGTAGGCCGAGAAGAACACGTTGTTGCCCAGCTTCAGGTCATCCGGCAGGTGGTTGAAATCAGGGTAATCGGGCCCCGCCTCGAGCAGCAGCACGCTCTTGTCCGGGTCTTCCGAGAGGCGGGTGGCGATGGTGGATCCGGCCGAGCCGGCGCCGACCACAATATAGTCGTATCGCATCGGGACCTCCTGTTGCAGCGTTTGGTTGATTAGCGTAATACTAGCCGAGCCCGGTTGCACGGGCAAGGAAGCCCTGCACAATCTCCGACCTCATCCTCCGACCTCATCCGACTTTCATCCGAGTAGGACGTTCGAGTAGGACGTTTCGCAATCCTTCATCTTCCAAAATACCTGACATCCGCCCGCCATCCCCGCGCTGACCCTGTGCTAGAATCGCTGCGATGACCACCACCTATACTGATTCCCTGGGATACTGGGTGGCCTTGAGCCGCGTTCCCCGTTTGGGCTCTGCCCGCTTCCGCCTCTTGGAGTCCCACTTCGACGGGAACCTGGCGGCTGCATGGACGGCTCCCGCGCGCGAGTTGCGAGCCGCCGGCGTTGGCCGTGCCGTGGCGCAGGCCATCGTCGATGCCCGGCAAACCTCCTCACCGGATCAGGAGTTGTCCCGACTGTTTCACGCCGGCGTTTCAGCAATCAACTGGCACGACGCAACCTATCCGGATCGATTGCGGGAGACCGACGACGCTCCGCCAGTCCTCTACGTCTCGCGGCGCCCTTCCTTCAGTTGACCCGCCCTCCATCGCCGTCGTCGGCACACGCCGCCCGTCCGAATATGGATATCGGGTGACCGCTGACCTGTGTTCGTACTGGCAGCCCACGGCGTAACCGTGGTCAGCGGCCTCGCCTTGGAATAGATGCCCGAGCGCACAAGTCCACCGTGGACGCCGGTGGTCTCACCATCGCAGTCTTGGGCAACGGCCTGGACACCGTTTACCCCCGGGAAAACCTACGCCTGGCCGAACGTATCGTCGCTGAAGGCGGCGCTATTATCAGCGAGTTCCCCGTGGGGGTGCGGCCTGAAGCATCACACTTCCCGAGGCGCAACCGCATCATCAGCGGCATGACCATTGGCACGCTGGTTACCGAAGCTGGGGAAACCAGTGGGACGAGGTGGACCGTATACCACGCCCTAGAGCAGAACCGGGAAATCTTCTGCGTACCCGGCAGCGTGTACTCCGAATCCAGTAAACTTACCAACCGCCTCATCCGCGAAGGCGCCAAACTCGTCAGCAACGTCAACGACATTCTGGTTGAGATTGGCCTGGAAACCTCGGAACGGCAGATCACCCTGGATCTCTCCGCAACGGACCCATCATCAAATGCTCCCGCCAAAACTGGTGAGAATGGTGCGCGGGCAAACGACGCGCGCGCATTCCCATGATCCGATAGAATGTGAGCCGACCGCGCCGGAACTCCCCGATGCTGACGAAGCCGAACTGCTGCAACACATCGCCAAAGACCCGGTGCACATTGACGACCTGGCAACTCTGAGCCGTCGGCCAATAGCACAAGTCAGCGGACTGCTCACCATGCTGGAACTCAAAGGTCTGGTCAGACAAGTTGGGACCATGCATTACCAACTGGTCACCTGAACTGGAGACGAACTCTTCCTATGCCGCCTAAGACAGGAACCTCGGCAAAAACCACGAGGACATCCGGCAAGCCCCGCAGCGGCGGTCAGTCGCGCCGGTCCACCACTCGCGCTGCCGGCAAGTCCGGTTCACCGCAGTCGGCCGCCGAAGGATCGACGCGTCGCAGCACGCGCATGCCTTCTTCCAAGGGCAAGCGCCTCGTCGTAGTGGAATCGCCGGCCAAGGCCCGTACCGTTGGACAAATCCTGGGCAACAAGTACCTGGTGACCGCCTCGATGGGACACGTCCGGGACTTGCCCAAGTCCACCCTCGGTGTCAACACTGAGGAGGATTTTTCGCCCAAGTACCTCACCATGAAAGACAAGCGAGACTTGGTGAAGGATCTCAAGGCGGCCGGAGCCAATGCTTCGGAATCTTGCTTGCGACGACCCGGACCGCGAGGCGAAGCCATCTCCTGGCACCTCCAGGCCGCGCGCCGATGGGACAAGTTCGAAGAAGCCCCCAAACGCGTGGTCTCCACGAGATCACCAAACAGGCGGTCGAGGAAGCCTTCGAGCATCCCCGCGAAATTCGACATGCAGTTGGTACGACCACGCAGGCCGCGCATCCTGGACCGCCTGGTCGTTACGAGATCAGCCCGCTTTGCTCGGCGTGAGGTCAAGCCGGTTTGTCGGCGGGACGAGTCCAGTCCGTCACCCTCGCATGATCGTCGACCGCGCGAACGCGAATCGGCGCGTTCGTCCACGCAGGAATGGTGGTCCCTGGAGCGGAAGGAACTCCACAAAGATACCGACCCAGCATCCCATCAACTGTTCACCGCGACGCATCCATTCGCGGGTAAAGGAAAAGGCTCCCGCAAGCAAACTGAGCATCATAACGACGAGACACGGCCCCGGGCGCCTCCCTGGATAGCGCGAACTGAAGGGCGCCGGGCTTTCGTGGTGGACACTGTGGAGAAAGCGAAGCCGCGTCGCCGTCATGACGGCCGCAGCGCCTCCGAGTCTCACGTGTAACCAGCCCCTCCAGCGTGGACGACCGCTCGCTGGCGCAAGCTTACGGTTCACGCCGCCCAAGCGCAATCCAGCTGCCTAGCCCAGCAGTCATCTACGTCAGGGTGTTGAACGTCGGCAGCGAGGGTTTCGTCGGCCTCATCACTATATGGGAAACGATAGCTGGTGAACCGTGTCGACGATACCGCTTACGTGCGAGCAGAATCGCGGCGACTACGCTTCCGCACTAGCGCGCGTCGGCGACAAGGACTACACCCCGCACCAAGCCGACCGGGGCCTCCTATCGCAGCTCGGAGCAACGAGGAAACGCCAGGAAGCTCACCGGGAGGCAACTTCGTCCACCGTCGGTGGGACGCAACGCCCAGCGCCACTGGCACACTTACCTAGGGTACCAGCGATTCAACTGCGCATGTATACCTGATCTGGGAATGCGCATGTCGCCAGCAGATGGCCGACAGCCGTGCTTGAAGCAAACACGGTGGGAAGGGATCGACGACCCGGTTGCACGCTCGTTACCTCGGACAGCACGTGTCCGTCGCCGCCACGGGCTCGCGTCCTCAAGTTCCTCGGCTTCCGACTGCTGTATACCTGGAGGGACGCGACGACAGGGCACGCCACGAAAACAGTGAGAAAACGCGCATCACGCGCACATTGAGCCGCCGTGCACGACACGGTCTGGCCACACCAGAACTCGACAGCCAGCAGCCTTCACTCAGCCGCCCCGAGTTCACCGACGGCCACTGATCCGGGAGTGGAGGAAAAGGGCATCGGACCCGCCCCAAGGCACCACTACGGCCGGACCATCGCAACCTGGTGCGCCCAGAGAATATGCCTGCGGCGGGAAAAAAAGCAGCGCCGGCTCTATCCCACCGAATTGGGCCTGCACGGGTCACCGACCTCCTCACCGAGCGTCGTTCCGCACGAGCTCGTGATGGCGCACACGGAGTTCACGCCAAGATGGAAGAGGATATGGGAAAGCG